TATCAGAGAACAAAGACTGGTATTTACTAAGTTGATGGAGGAAAACATCCGAAGAAAAATTTAAATTTTTTAGACTGAAAGTATAAACTATTAGTTTTATACAACTTGTATTTTTTACCTGTAATTTGGGTGTTAAAAAGAATAAATAAATAAATTATGAAAACATTAAAAATTCAAACAAGGCAAATACGTGACTACAAACAAAAAAGTTCATCTAAAGATTAGTATTGCTATTTTTTAAATTTTCGTTAATCTAAAGACAATACAATACTATTCTTATAATAAAGTGTATTGCAAAATTATAAACGTGACGACAGAAAAGACGGAAAGCTTGAAGAGCCACTGATAGGACTATATCCGGTAACTAATATTTCAAGTATTTTCAGCCTGAAGACAAAAACGTAGTATTGAAAAAAATGTATAATGAAACAAGTTAGTTCATTAAAGAATTTAGTAAGAAATCAATAACAAATTAACAATGATTATGTCAAAAGAGAACCAATTATTAAAGATGTTGAATCAAGCAACGCGTTATAGCCATTATAACAGAATTGTAATTTAGGACTATGAACGCAGATAACTATACTCTAAACAAAAGTAGTATCAATGTTTTAAATATAATAATTACAAAATGTGAAACTTTTAATATGAGAAAATGCTTAATAATTTAAAAGCATTTTAAATTACTAGACAACTCAACTGGAATCTATTTTGATGTCGTGATTAACAGTTACAAAATGCATTTATTTAAAAATTTTTTTTTTACCGTTTTATTTAATATATTTTCCTGATATTATTTATCAATTAATATATTTTAAACTAATATATTATTTAATATATATTATATACTTAAATATCTACACCTAAAAATGAAGTACATAATTTATCTCAACGTAAGTTTTCACCATGTAGTATCTTCAAACATTTTATTATTACAAAAATACATCTTAGTTGCAATGTTTAATTTAAAAACCATTTTTCCTCGTATATTTTGTTGCAAATAACTTCAAACATGAACCATCTTTACTATAAAACTAAACTGTAACTTAAAAGCTCAATACTATTTAGTATTTTTATCGCAGAGGGGCCTGCATGCCGCTCTTCGTCTATAACTTGTAAACTTATTGGTTGTGAATAAACTAAAGTTAAGTATAGCTTACAAATTAATCTCTTATTGGTTTGTATTATTATTTATCGTCAGTTTGAATAAAGAAGTTTGACATGATAAAGCTGTTGCATCGAATCAACTTTTCAATTTTAAAGGGGGTTGCCCAAGAAACATATTTTTTTTTGTCCCTGTGAGTTTAAATGACCAAATTTTGTACTATATGGATATTTTCAACTAAAAAAATATTTTCAAAACATTAGTTTTCTTTTATCCTTAATTATTGTATTTTATCGTTAAAATGAGGCAAAAAGTATGCAATAGTTTAAAAACCGTAGCTGCAGATATAAACATAGTAACTACTCTTAACATGATAGTAAAATCCATTTGTCATAAAAATTTTTGACTTATTTAGTCTAATTTAAGCATCTATTAGTGTTTAAGACAAAGCATTATTTGTATAAATGTTAATAGGTGAAATTTTATATAACTCAAAAATGAAAAAACCTACGATACGAAAACTTGTTTAATTTAACAATAAAATTGCTTTATAATTTACGTCACTTGCTTTAACGTAAACGCGTACACAAACATAATGAATGAACAGTTTGAAGTCGTCACCGCATTAGTTTAAAGTCGTCTCAGCAACAGGTAAAAGTTTTCACATTTTCTAGAATGGAATGTTTACTATTTTAATAATTTTTGTTAAGTTCTCTTCAGTGGAGACTTTAAAAAGTCTCCACTGAAATTTAAATTTTTATATTATAATTAATTTATAATTTTTTTTTGACAAAAAAAATAGGGTTTAGTTGTAGTTGAATTAGATAGAACCGTACGAATTTGGCAAGTTTGATGAACAGTTAGCCATGCTAACTGTTAATCAAACTTGTCAATTTTTGTCAAGCTCGTGCTTGACAAGTTTAGAGAAGTTTAAGCGAACGAGACACTTGTTGAAGATTTCAAATAAAAACGATAAAAAGCGCAACTTTTTCAAAAAGAGAAAATCTAGCGTCGCATTTATTAGGAAAATAAACCACCATGTCTCTACCCCCAAGAAGTTTTCGCAGTCTTATTTCAGAGCACCGTGGAAGAGCATTTGAAAAGAAATTCACGCGTCATTCCTTACCGACGTTAAACAGCGTAGATTGGATGCCTACTTTAAACCCAATAGTATAAATTTTTTTTCTTTTTTTTTTTCTCAAATCGTTGGCGGAAATGTTGAAATTTCAATTCAATGCGTTGGTGAAACTTGCTGGAGTGAGGCTTCTGGTTTACGGTTAGGATGTTTATTAACCTAACCGTAAACCAGAAGCCTCACAGCAAGTTATTTAACCTTTAATTATCACCAACCTTTAATTATCAAGTTATATTTAACCTTTAATTACCTTTAATTATCAACTATTAAACTAAATAAAACTCATTATTTATCAATCAAATTTTTTAACCAAAGTATTTGGTTATTAAATAAGCATTTGGTTATTAAATTTGGTTAAAGAAGTTGATTGATAAATAATGAGTTTTATTTTGTTTAATAGTTGATAATTAAAGGTTAAATAAGTTTTTGTTTCGCAGTGCAATAGGCGTAACAAAGCGTAACTATGCCCACTATTAATAATAATATTCACTGCGTTATTTATATTTAGATTATTTATATTTATTTATGTTAATTTATGTCAACTAAAATAAGAATAAATAAATAAATAAGCAATAATATAAATAGTTTTAATTAACATTAAAAAAAATTCAAGAACTTTTTCTAAATTCTCCTAATATAAAAATTATATTAGGAGAATTTAGAAAAAAGATTATTAATAATAAATAGTTTCAATTAGAACCTTGTCAACGAAATAATAATAACTTAGTGACGTAATTCAGTTTGTTAGCCCAAGGACGTATTAAAAGATGGACGTTTATCCTATTGTTATAGATCTGAGGCGCCGCAAGTAAACAAAAACCTATGCGAGCTATAATTTTTAGCGTCATTTTTCTGAATTTATTTATAAAAGTAAACCGACGTTTTTCCGATATTTTCGCTTTTCTAACTACTTTTTTTAAAAAGTGCAATTACCTATAAAACTCTAACTTTTTTTTAAATTAATGCATTTTAGTTAATCAGAAATAGCTCGTCTGTTTTAAAATGTCAAATTTGATACGTGAGCGTATTTTAATAAAACTTATTATTAATAAAACTAAGACGTCAAAAATCATACTTTTGTAAAAAAGTGATATTTATTTTGCAAGAATGAATACTGCAAAGTGAAACGAATTTTCTAGATGTTGTAGGTAAAACTGTAGATCATATATAGATTGAACAATAGATTACTTGTGGTCTTTATTCCCTACACTTAATTTTCACAATTATTTTAAGTATTTAAATTTCTCATTTTTGTCGGAAATTTTGTCTCACTTACAATTTTGTTTTAATATTTTTCTGTGATTAACTTTTTTTTTCCATGTAAAGATTTCGCTTGAGTTTATAGATCATATAATGAAAAGGTTTTATTTATTTAAAAACTTTTTAGAGTTTTTAGGTGTAATGGAAGGTTTAAATATTTCTAAGGCTAGACGAGACTATCGTTATTTTAACGTAAAATCAAGTAAAAATATTCTGAAGTAAAAAATAGTTCTCTATTGTTTTGCTATTGTTATGTGTAACAATGAATAGCGTGGATATCTTGGCTTTTAAACAATACGTTAAACGTCGACCTATTAATACGTCCTTGGTTAGCCGGAACTTTAATAAATCTTTAGTAAATCATTTACTAAAGTTCTGGTTAACATTTACTTAATCCATGTAGTTTTAACTTACGTTACACAAATTTAAAACAATAATGTGCTTTAACTAAGCATCGTTATTCAAAACTTTAAATGCAAAAACGTAACTTTAATTTTTTTTTCGCATATATTATTAAAAAACTAACTAAATTTTAGAAAAAGCAAAACTTTATCAAGCTTTTGTTAAGTTACGTTACATGAAATTTGCGCAAGGTCTTTTGTTATTTTCTTAAAATGTGTATATTTTATAAAGTATAAAACATGAATGAGTATTTGAACATGTCAGCTACATTTTCACGCTAATTTAAATCCGATTATGCAAATATATTCATGGTTAGAATAACATTTTACAATGTTACCTTTTTTATCATGCGACAATGAGAAAAACCGTAACTTTCGGAGGCATAAATATGACTTAAATTAATTTTAGTATTAAAGATATATTTTAAATAAACTTTCATGCGTCTACATCAATATTCATTTGCTAAAAGTTGACAAAAAAGAGAATAAAATTTTACAACTTTTTCATTTTCCGCCGTGGAATTGCCCATATACTTTTAAAAACGGAGCAGTTTTATTTAAATACCGAGTTTTAATAAACCTTCTGCTGGATAATTAAAATAACTAATGGCTAAAACTATGTATAAAAATATCCTTAGAATCATTCTTTTTTTAAGTTTTAATGAAAATCATTTCAGTAAATTTTATTTTTTTGTCATTATCGGTTACAAGCATACTTCGAGACGATTTGAAATTGCTCTGATGTTTGCGGCTTTATGAACTTCCATCTGTTTCATACTTTTACGCCCCGATCAACTGATATGCTGATTATGACAATATTTACGTAATTACGCAATACAAGCAAGTAACGTTCAAGATTGTTCGTTTTGTTTCGGTTATTTAAAAACAAACAATAAAAAGTGATGAAATATAGTTTTAAACTATTCAATTGCTGTTAAAATCGGGGAATTAACCATTAAATTTTAAACATAATTTTTTGTTTGGTTAATTCCTCAGTTTGATGTTTAAAAATGTTGAGTTTGATAAAAAAAAAATTACTTATAGAAATTCCCTTTTAAAAAACTACGTCATTTAAAATTTCCTATAAGTAAACTTTTAGCAGAGTTTTTTAAGAGAGAAAGTTTTTTGAATTTAAAGTACAAAAATTTCTCATTGTCATAGTATATTTTTAATCGAATGAATTTTCCGTTGTTTTTTTTATCCTTAATCATTTTATATATAAAAAAAACTTATTCAAAATCGATACTAAGCGAACAATTAACGTGCGGTCAAGACAAAGATGGCTCAGATATATTTAAAAGTGTTGATGGACAACACTCGTGTACTGTTTGTTTGTGTGCTGATTTAAATAAAGGTATTTCATATAAAAACTGTGAAAAATGTTGTTGTGCATATGTTAGGAAGACAAAAATAAAAGACTACGAACACTTTGAAGAAAAAAGCATAAAAGGTTAATTGTATTACTTGAAATATTGTAGTTTAAACTCTGTCTTCAGTTTATATTTATTTGATTTTTTTTTTAATTTGTTGTTGTTGTTTTTTTTTCAATTGTAAATAATTTTATAGCTGGCGACAAGTAAACAACTTTTAACTTATTTCCTGTAGCCGTATTCACGTCTTTCCGTTTAACCCTGCGTTAACCTAACGGCTGGTTAAAATTTAACGGCAGTTTTTAACACCGGCGTTAAAAAAAAATTCGTATTCTCGTGTCCTCCGTTCAGTTAAAATAAAGTTAACGGAAGATAGTTAACGGTAAAATCTAACTCTGCTATACCCTACAGTTAAAACCGAAAACGGAGAAATTTTTTAAAATATTAAAAATGGTATCCGAACAAAATAATATGTTGAATTTTTCTCATTAATAACAGCTGAATAAACTGTTTATTATTTATTTAAACAAGTTTAGTTTTAGGCTAAATAAGTTATATTATGTACTATATAATATTTATATAATTAAATCTTTAATTATTAAATCGCTAATCTATTTTAATTAGACATTATACTTTAAAATACATGTTGACAACATGTATACAACATTGCTGTATTATCACGTGAAATACTGAAATCGCTACATTTTATTTATATTGTTTTTAATGCACGTACTATAAAATACAATATATATATATATATATATATATATATATATATATATATATATATATATATATATATATATATATATATATATATATATATATATTGTATGTATGTATGTACATATATATATATATATACATACATATATATAAATGTATATGTATATATATATAATATAAATATTTTATTTATATATATATATATACATATAAATATATTTTATATATATTATATTATGTATATATATATATATATATATATATATATATATATATATATACATATATATATATATATATATATATATATATATATATATATATATATATATATATATATATATATATATATATATAACGTATAAATATATAGATATAATACACTATCATAGTTTGTATATATATATATATGTATGTATATATATATATATATATATATATATATATATATATATATATATATATATAATGTATAGATGTATAATGTCTAGTAGGAGTGTGGAGTTGTAAAAAAAAGTAACGACTCCAAATTCAGTTATTGAAATTTTTTAAGTACAACTCCAACTAAAATTATGTGATAAGTTAAAAATTGCTTTTTTTTTTGCAGTTTTATGAAATGTTCTTTGAGGTTTAGTATGAACATAAGGTTAATTGAATGTTTTGTACATGGACGTGCAATGCAGAGAAGTTTTACAATTGGAGTCAGAGTCGCAATTTTGTTGAGCGACTCAGACTCCACTTAAAATGTCACGATTCTGCAACTCCGACTCCACAGCCCTGGTGTCTACTTATATATATGTATATATACATATATATATGTTACATATAAATATATGTATACGATATATATATATATATATATATATATATATATATATATATATATATATATATATATATATATATACATCTAATATATGTATATATATATATATATATATATATATATATATATACATATATATATATACATATATATATATATATATATATATATATATATATATATATATATATATATATATATATATATATATATATATATATATATATATATTTATTTATCTATAACATTTTATACCTAAATTATAAGTGATTTAGGTTGATAGGAGTTAAACATCAAAATAAAACATTGAAGTTTTGGAAAGTGATGTGAAACCATGTAAGCAGATGTTGGAACATGAAGTTATATACAACATTTAATGATAATGAAACAGAAAAGATAAAATTTTGAGCAGAATCGTGTTCATTAGAAATTTATAAGCACAAAAGTAACAATTTTTAATTGTTTCGTTATGATTTGTTATTGTTTTAAAAAAAAAAAAAAAAATTGTTAATGGTAGCTGATTTGAATATCTCAAAAGCAAAACAGCATGGAGAACAATTAACCATAATAATAATTTTAGCAATTGTTCAACAGAAAAAAACTGAAAACTTAGGTTCTTCTTATTAAACAACTTTTGTGTCTTTAAATTTACATTTATTAAATAAATTTATTTACAGAGCATGTTTTTTTAATTTGCGATGATTTTCTGAGAATATACATTCATTATTATTTGTTTTAATTTTTTAATCTTCAAGTTTAATAAAAAATTAGTTTATCAGTATTCTAAGAACATAAAAATTGGGAAAGAATCCGAATTAGAGACAAATGGACATAAAATTTATTCTTAAGCAAAAGAAAAGTTAAATAAAAATTTATTTCATAAGTTCATATTATATAAAAATAATTACAAAATAATCAACAATAAATTGAAATTAAATCACTTAAAAATTAAACATTCTTCGTTCTTTTTTTTAAATAGCTTTCCTTTAATAAAAGTATTTTTTCTTTTATAGATGCATTTCTTTTTTCCAAGTCGACTAACTCTTTTTTAGAAATGAAATAATCTCTTTCAGCTTGTAACTTTAAAACTTCTTCCTTAAGTTTTAACTTCTCCTCTGAAATGTAACTAAAAGTTAAATGACGGAGACATGGATGAAAATCCAATCGAAAATGATGAAAATATAGTAATAATAATGAAGATATAGTAGCTAAAAACAATTTCAAATTTCGTGATGATTTTGCTTTGCGACATTTTTGAACATATTTTATCTAAATAAATTTACTCATTTTCAAATTCCTTTTTTATAATAATAAATCGTTTATTAATTTTGTATTTGTTGTTAATTTGTGATAGAGCGATAGAGTTGTATAGAGTAACTCCATTTCATAGTTTTATGTAGCTCCAATTCAATTTTTTTGATGGTGTTTATATATTTTTTAACTCTAAAAATATAAAAAGTTTAATTTAAAAATATAAAAAGTTAGTACTTAGTACAAGTCTAAAACGGTTATTAGTCCTTAGTACAAGTCCTAAAACGGCTTATTACTTTAACTTGTTTAAGTTTAAAAAATTACGCAGCCAACATTTAAAAAAATCACGCTGTGACGTACCATCTAAACAATATTATGTGCCAGTTGGCATCGTAACATTTGGATGCGGTGTAAAAAACAGCACGAAAGTTAGCTAACGAAGCGGGCTAACGGAAGAAATTTAACTGACAAAGTTAACGGAGCGGTTAATAAACGGTGACTTAACGGAAGGACAAGAATACTATATTTCTCCATCCGTTTCGTAACGGCCCGTTAACAATTTTTTTCTTAACGGTCACTTGAACTCTCCGTTAATTTAACGGAGAGACGTGAATACGGCTGCTGATCATTTAAATTTTGAACGCTAATGAAGCAGAAGCAAGCAGTTTTACACTATATATTCTAACATAAAGTTTCGAACTTTTTCAAAAATTGTTTTAAATATTTACATAAACTTTTTAATTTTTTTTTAAAAAAAAGAAAATTTAAAAACTTCTACTGAGTTTATATTTAATTAAACATTTTTGGTATTTTTTTAGATGAACGAGAATTATTTAAAACAAAAAATGACTTATACGGTTTGATAGCGTTAAACTGTTTTTTTTTCTTAACCTCATTGGTGTCAACCTGTTTATACCTCAAAAAACGTTTTCGTAGAACCCGTAAGTTTTATTTTTTTAAGTATTTTTATTTTATAAAACATTTTAAAAAGAAAATAACTAATTATATAATAGTACTAGTTAATAAAAAATAAAAATAACAACTCACAACTTTGTTTATATGCTAACTATAAAACTAAACAAATTTATAAAACTATTTAATAAATGCTAATATACTTTTAAGAGATTACTTTCAAATCGCGGTTTGAGCAATTTTGTTTTTGTGTGCCAACTTAAATAAAAAAATATAAAGTAACAATAGTCCTATGTAAAATCTTGGAAATATAAATTAAGTGCTCTTTCATATGCGCTGATTACTTATTTAATTAAATAATATTTAAAGTGGCACATAAAACCAAAGTTGCTCATACCGCATTTTGAAAACAAGCTCATGTATATAGTTTTAAATATTACAGGCCTCTCTCTTCAATCAACTGAGAAAGATGAATTTATGAATGGTGACGTAAAAGTAATTATCAATCATGAAAAGATTCAAAATACCGATTAAGAAAATCTGCTACCAGATTAAAAACTCTTTATCATTAGTTTTGTAAATATATGTTTTGTAAATATATAAATTATTTTGTAAATATAGGTTTAGATTATAATATAAAAAAATGAACAGATATCTATAAAATTAAAAAATCGCTTGGATATTGTTTTTTTTGTTTTGTTTGTTTGTTTATACTTTTAAACCCACCTAGTTTTACGGTTTGATAATAAAGAAAATTGGTTAATCAAATAATATACGATCGCGTATTGTATTCAATCGGTTAAATACTGTTACTAACCATTTTTGAAATTTTTATAAGCAGATCAGCAACATCTCGATCCTAGTTTATAGTCTCAAAAATTTATTCACGCTTTCCAACTTTTTTAGTTGTCTCGAAATTTATATCTTACCAGCAAATCGTAAGCTTCATATTGTTTGAAATCATAAGTCTTACTTTTAATTTGATTGTTCTGCTATCAAAGTTTGTTATCATTCACATAATCTTTTGATGAATTTCGGCTAGCAATTAGTATACTAAAAATAAATAAGAGTGCAGGACTGGATGAAATTAACCCCCCAGTGGGCACTGGACCTAAAATAGACGTTTTTTAAACGTTCAAAAGACGTTTAAAAGACGTCCAAAACGTGTATAAGACGTTTAAAAGACGTCTTTTTTACTTCCGTGCCCACTGGGCCTGATGTTCTAAAAGCAGTCTCAGATATTATAGAGAAACCTCATTTATAATTTTTAATCTTTCTTTAAAAGATTGTATGTTTTCTGACCAATTAAAATTAACAAATATAATTCTAATAAACAAAAGCGGCAATGACTCGATAAAATCTAACTATAGACCAACTTCCATACTTGCCTGTTTTTTCAAAATACTAGAGCGTATTATGCACAACATATTGTACAATTATCTTAAAAAAATTTATCATTCTTTATCATAAACAGTTCGGTTTTTGCAAAAACCATTCCACGAAACATGCAATATTTGATTTTGCGAATCAAATTTTGAATGGTTTTGAAAACAATGTACTTTTTTAGATCTATCTAAAGCATTTGATATTGTCAACCACAAGATTCTTATTTATTAACTACGCAATTATGAAGTAGTTCACTCTAACTAAAGAGGCTGCAATGTTATTTAGAAAATTATAAACAAAGAGTATATTATAATTTAACATGCACAACATTTAACACAGGGCCGTCCTGAAGAAAGGGGTATCGGGGGTGTCCCACCCCCACCCCACCCCCACCCCCACCCCCACCCCCTCAAAGCAGTCATTTAAGCATTTGAGTTGGCACATTGAGCAAGTTTTGAACTATAGTTGGCAAGTTGCAAATATTGTGGACCTTTTTTTTTTTTTTTTTGGTGTTTCTAGTTGGCAAAAATTACTCCATAGACGACCTCTTCAGGACGGCCCTGCATGCACACGATTTGAATTAATAAGCTGCCTTGTTCTACATGGATCAATACTTAGACGTTTGCTGTTTTTAATTTATATAAATATTTATTTGTCCTCAAAAATACTTAATTATATTATTTTTGCTAATGACATTGATGTTTTCTTTTCAGACTCAAATTTAAAAAATATTTTTAATTATGTAAACACAGAACTAATATATCTTAATGAGTAATTTGCAGCAAATAAACTTTCATTGAATACTAATAAAATTAAATATGTTTGCTGAATCATCTAAATCTAAAAACCTTCCACTTAAACTACTAAAACTAAAAATTAACAAAATTAAAATAAAAAGAGTTTTTTCAATAAAAATACTTGGAATATTTTTCAATGAACATTTAAATTGGAAAAATCTAAAAAAGTTAGTCGAGAATAAAATTTTAAAGACTCTACCCAATAAGCACAGGACGTCCTTGGACGTCCATGGAACAGATCGTTTAGGTCTATTCGTCTAAGTCCTAAAGGGTACGTCTTGGGACGTCCAAGTCCAATGTAGTGCGTACTCGTCCTCGCACGTCCATTGGACATTCGCATCCAAAGAAGGTATATTCTCTTCTCCGTGTGCTACTTTTACACATGCGTGAACATAAATTATTTTTAAATTGGTTAAAAAAACATAGTTTGAATGATGCCAATTTTTATGCTAAAAAACTTCACTTTTTAGTTATAGTTATCGAACATTAATTTATAGTTTAATTATATAGCTGTATAATAATATCTTTTTATTTAGACAAATAAATTTAATTAACAAATATGGACTACAAATGATAATCAAATTGGTAAAGTATTTTTCTTATAACAAGTTTTACTTTGTGAAACATGGCTGTGAGTCTTAAAACTGAAATCAATAAATTCGAACCTTTTCATACTAATAATCGCTTATAATTATTACTTAGTTTAAAGCTGCTCTTGCTGCCGTTGTTACTCTTTTGTGCGCCTTTGATACGGAGTTTTTACCATACTTGGCCTTTTAATATTTCTCTTTATATTTTTGACCACGCAATAAGGTATTCTTAAACCTTTATAATCTGTTAATATCTGCTTAATCAGTAATAAGATCGAAAACTTTGCTTCATCAGTTTAATTAGTAATATGATCAAAAACTTTTTAATTTGATGACTTCTGTAGTAAAGGATAAATCTTATGTAATTTTTTAATGAGTATAGTAACTTTTAAAGTCAGGTAATTTATTTAATTCATGCATTTTAATAGTAATACAATTTAAGTCCTATGTGACAAAGGGCTTGAATTGTGTTATTACATATTACATGTGTTATTATTGAATTGTGTATTAAAATGCATGTTTGACAAAGTTTGTTAATTGTATTTAAAGTATATTAATCTGTAATTTTTATTTTTAAAATTAGAAGATGATGATGACTCTACAAGACAATGCTTTTTTCAAAAGTCAAAACGTCAAACTCTTCTTAAAGTTAGTGTTTATCTCCAAAACCCTTGCATCTCACACAAGATCGTTTAATATCTTATTTTAAAGAAAATCTGTTTGCTTTTATAATAAAAAAAATCAGGTCGTTTGATCGTTTGTTTTTTTAAAGTTGTTAATCATTTATTACGAGGAATGTCATTAAACAATTAAGGTGTTATTTTATAAATGCTCCCAATTTACATATTTGTCTTAGCTTATATATTTAGTTATATTATGTGTTATTTATTATGTGTTTATTTGTGTTGAGGTTATATGTGTTTATATTTTGTAAGTGTGTAAATATTTTCAATATATAAAATGTTTTTATGTTTGTGATGTGTTATAATGTTATGTGTTTATAGTTTGTAAGTGGTTATTATGTTGTTTAAATGGTTTCAAATTGTTGTAACTTGGATTACAGAAAGATTGTTGACCTTGCCAGTGAAGTGGTGTACTGTCATGATGAAACACATAAAGTGGTGTACTGTCATGATGAAACACATAAATTAAATCTGTTTGTAGTAAGTGTAATCATAAAAAGCGTTGAAAAAGTATTGTTTAAAGATTGTGTTTAAAAGAAATTTTAAAAAGATAGTTTTTTAATATCTATTGTTTTTTAAATATATACAATTTTAAGTAAATTTTATTGAAAAGATGTATGCATCATTAAATATTTATTTACTTTTTACGTATTTTTTTTTACGTAATTTTTTTTACGTAATTTTTGTTGAAAAGATACTCTGATCCTTTTTCATTAACAATTTTTTTGTTAATTTAAAAGATTTTTATTTTCTGTTCTTTTTTAACAATTTATGTTTATGATGATAAATAAATTTTGTTACAAAACGGGCTTCCTATTTATTACTAGCTCCTTCCCATTAAAAAATTTATAAGTTTTTATTTCCTTCATTAAATATGTTTAATTTAAATTTATTGTTTTTTTTTTTATAAAGGTAAGTATACAAAGTGTTATAACATATGTTTTGGTAACTTTCATTAAATTTTTAGGATTTTTTGTACAAAATATCCTAAAAATTTTAAACAATATAAAGGATGTTTTCTCCAAAATAATATTTTAATGCTTTATATATATATATATATATATATATATATATATATATATATATATATATATATATATATATATTATATATATATATATATATATATATATATATATATATATATATATATATATATATATATATATATATATATATATATATATATATATATATATATATATATATACATTTCTTGCTGGCAATCGGCAATTGCCAAGTATCTGAACAAATAATTATTCTATCAAGAGCAACAGTTAAATCGTGGCGTTGATTCATATTGCAATATGAATCATTACCACGATATAACTGTAGGATATTCATTTTATTATTAACATATTTATAAAACTTGCTAATGTTATTTTCCTCTACTACGTTTAATTCAATTTTCAACTGGTAATTAGATATGATTTGTTTGCAATTTCTGGCGTACTGTTTGTTAGCTGATTTGTTATAAATCGTTTTATTATTGCTGAGTTTGTTGATGCTCTAATTAATTCCCAGATAGCACAAATTCCTTGGGTCATGATTGGGCAAATATTGGCCGCAAACATTGGGCAAATATTGGGGAGCGCAAATTGGGCCTTTATTGAACAAATATTGGCCGATTGCTGGATAAATCATGGCTCCAATATTGGGCCATTATTGGTTTTGATTGGCTTATCATGGCCCAACATTGACCATTAATAGCCAACGATGTAGGCTAATACTGGCCCAAAGTTGGGCAATTCAAGCCCAATATTGGCTAATTCAAGCCCAATATCGGCCAATACAAGCCTAATATTGGCTATTCTTGGCACTTTATATATTCACACATTTTTTTTTGGCAACAAGAGCTTAGAATTGTCACTTCCATGCTAACAAACTTGCAATACATAAAATAACTGAATTTCTTTTTAAAATAATCTTTTTAAAATAAAAGGAATGTCGATTTGTTTGAAATAAAATTTAAAAAACATAAGTCATATAAAAGAAATTTATTTGATAAATATTCTCAACCAGCATCCAACAAAATAACAATGTAAAAAAGAAAATAAACATATTATAAAAAACACTTCATTACATTTAATATAAAAATTATATGTCTTCTAAAGAACTTTCCTCTACGCCTCTCCTAGCGATTTTTTCAAGGCCATCCATGTCAATTGAACTTGATAGCCATTTTGGCAGCATCTTGTCCGGTTGACTAATCGTCGCTTAGTCAACAAATATCACTAGTAAACATGGATAAACAGAAAATAGAGCAAATAAAAATCTATCTATCAAAATAAAACTTTAATCCACCATCACTGAACACAGATCAGCTGTGTATACATTAGGGTTTTAATCTGGTGTTAAAATGAGAGTGTCATTGTAATTTTTAGTTTAAACTGAAAGGACATCTGAGATGTTTAGAAATATGACACTTTAATTTTAAAACCGGAGTAAAACCCTAATGTGTAGGGCATAGTTGTATCCAAGATCTGGATCCAATTACCTGGGTACCTGAATCCTAATTTTGAGATCTGGACCCAGATCTATTTTGTTCAGATATTCAGTTCCACAATATTTTTACCGATACCAATTATACACAATATTTTACCAAAAAAATTCCTCATATAAAGGGTCTGACCCTTTTCCTGCCTCTAAAGGCAAGGAAAAGTCACTTAACTTAATGGTCAGCACGTGAAAAATTGACACAGAAAGAAAAGTCTAATACTCTGATTAACAACAATAACTCTGCGTTTATGTTATTTTATTGATGTATGTTAGCAAGAAAATATATAATTATTATTTCTACAATTATATAACAAATTATATAGAAAAAATATTAAACAATTTATTAAAATAGAGATATAAAGAAACACAAATTAATAAAAAATAGCTTACTGTTCTTGATCGCTACTCAAAATCTTGCAATTGGGTTGATTTCCAGAAGATCATTTATCTCTTGGAGTGGAAAAGTCAAGGCATATTATTATTATGTTAAACGCATATTATTATTATGATTGAAAAATTATAATGATATTTTAACTATAATAATAATTTAATTATAACTAATATTAATGAATAAATGATATTGACTTAAATATTACAATTAATATATTCATATATTTATTGTAATATTTAACTGTACCATTTTTTTTGTAATTAACACTACAACTTTTCATAATTGATTTTCAAAATTACAAGTAAGATTAAAAACAGATAAAAAAAAGCCATTTTGTAAAAACTTTGTAGACTTTTATAAACTTTATTAGCAACTTTTTCGACCATCGTCTCAAGCTTTTTTTAGTCCGTCTCATTTAATAGACCCTCACAGCCATTTGGAAAGTATTTTGTCCAGTTGACTAGCTGTCGATGTAGGATAATTTTTTCTTACTGCATCTGCATAATAAAATAAGCAATAATAAGCAGATGGAAAGATTTTTTTGTGATCCTTAAAACAATTATAATAAAAAAATTTATTATAGAATATTTATGATGCTTATAATGATGATAGTGATGATGATGACGACAATGATGAGAATAAAAGTTTTAGAATAAATAATAATGAGAGTTATTTTATTTATAAGTTACCATAAATCACATTTTTCACCCCAACTAGACAACCAAACTCTAATTTACCCTTTTCTTCCTGTAAAGTTATAAAGCATTGAGAGTTTTGCTGTCAAGATTTTCTTAGCAACTTTTCTCAAACAGTCATCAAGACCATTTCCTTCAATTAGAGACAAAAAAATAACCTATAAAGAAATAAACATTTTTCATTCGCTATTGCATATGAAAATGAGTTTATACTAAAATATAAATGTTTTTATATATGAAGTTAATTCGAAATAGAAAAAAATATACTAATTTAATTTGAAAAATAAAGGTAAACTTTTATATTCTTTATATTATATAATGATATTCATAATATAAAATTAATTTAAAATAAAATTGAACTTTTATTTTCTTTATATTATACAATGCGGTAGTGGTGTAGTGGTAGAGCGCTCGCTTCATAAACGAGTGGTTCTGAGTTCGATCCCCACCACGTCCCTGGTAGTACAGCGCTCAACACGCTTCTCCGCGCAGCGGCCTTGTTCGTCAAGGTTCGTGTTTCGGAGTTATAGAGTTGAGAGAGGGTTATAGCCACAAATAAGTAGCCTCCTTGTCTGTAGTGGTCTTCTCGGCCTTGAGGAGGTGAATTAAAATAAAAAAAATAAAAATAAAAAAAAAATGATAATATTAGACTTACTGCATTTGATCGACATTCAGTATTTTCCAGAAAAATGCTATTTAACTGTAAGAGTTCATCAATTTCTTTTAATGGAAATAAAGTTTTTTGAAAGATTTCCACTTGTATTATGATTATTAGAAACTTGCTTTTGGCGCTGCACACCTAACTCTGACTTAATTTCCTCCAACTGTTTAATAACACTATGAAAATATGGTCGAACAACATCAGCCACAGCTTGTTTACTAAATCAGGAACTATCCAAAAACAATAAATTATATTTATAGAAAACTTTCAGGTATACAGAGACCCTTAAATAACCCCAGGAATTTTGGAAGTTACAAAATCATTATTTTTGCATAATTTCTAGTGTTAGGGCTTTTAAAAAAGTTGAGAGGCTTTGGAACTATAAACGTTAACTGCAAAAAAAAAATAAAAAAAAACCTCTAACTTATCAGAGCACCAGGAACCATAAAAAACTTAGTCTTTTATAACTTTCAAAAGCGGTCTATCATAAAAAAAACACCTTTTTGAAAATATAATTAAACACTTATGCCAAACTCGCAATATACAACATATTAATTTTAAAATATTATTTTAAATGCAAAACTTACGAATTGAAGATGGGATGTTTGTGCTAGAACTAGCTGGTGAAGGTTTATCAACTCGATCTGTAAAAGTGGTTGAAGTTGACTGTCTACATGGGGGTAGGGGAAGAATTGGTACCAAATGTTCCCTATCTGAAGAGTCAGAATTAGAATTTTCTGATGGATTGATTGGTGAGTTTTTCTTTTTCTTAATTTTCGAATTTTCTTTTGTTTTCTTTTCTTAATTGAAATGTCAGGACTCCTAAAATTGAAAACAAAATGTTAATAAAATTGTTATGTAAATAATAACGAATATAAAATTTCAAGCTAAAAATTCTAGTTTGCATTTAAAATCATTTAGAATATTGTATTTTAAAAATATACAATAAACATGATATACTTTATCATTGTGTTTGCAAATTTTTCCTCTTTAAATCATGTTTTATTTTCGAACAACTTAAAGAAAAATCTGTGTAGTGAAAAGATTTAGCCTCTGCCTTTTTCATCTTTTCATAGTCTGGAAAATTATAATTTGCAGAAAAAAATCATATAATCAAAACTTTCTAAAACCATATAAAAATTATATACCTCCAATTTTCAATATTTTTATATAAGAATAAAGAGGCCAATCTTTGTGATTAGGAATTGGTAACTTTCTCATTTTTGACCATTGTTTAGCACCAATTCCCTGAGGCCAATAATATGTAGCTGATTCTTGTAACAACCAGCAATCAGGCACCACTGCCAATCCATCCTCAAATTCAACTAAATAATATATTACTAAAATAAAAAGATAAACATTAAAATCAGTAATACCAAATACTAATACTGATATACAAATGAGCGCTAATACAAAAATTTAGCAAAAAAATAAAAAAAAAAAATTCTAGTTTATTATTTATGTATTTGAGGCTTCATAGACAGAGGAATACAAACAAATTTGGACTTGCATGGTAGTATAATATATTTTTTCTGCATTTCATCTGTTGTGGCAGATTCATACTGACATGATAACTAGAGACCTTTACTATACCAAAACATTCGAAAGAATTTGCAAGATATCTAAAAAAAGGTTCAATAGTAAATAATTTTTCATAAACAATAAAATGCCTATTATCACCATGAAACTTTAATATGTTATGAATCAAACAAAAATCATTTTTTATTATTATGCAATTGTTTCCTTTTGAAGTAGAGTAAAAAATTCCATTTAAAGTAATTTCTTGATACTGTAGAAACTCTGTTTGTGCTCTTAAAATAATAGGACCATTTTCAAGCAGCTTCCTGGGAATGCCTTCCTTCATACATTTATCAGAGTTTCTTATAATTGATCCATTTTTTTCAGATATACGCTGGATAACCTGTTGAAGTGGTAAATAAGGTTTACGTATTAAATGTTTTAAATGCCCCAGAAAATTTTCAAACCGAAATGCAGAGTAATTATAAACAGATCCAAATCTTTTTACATCACTTGCAATGTGTATTAGGCTGTGTTTACATTGTAGCTAATAAACCTCTGCCATAAATTTTTATAGCATTTTTTACAAAGGCGCGTAAGATAGATTCCGTATAATCAGCATGACTTTGATAAAGATCTGAACTGCAGGGTTGTTCACGAAAGCCAAAGTTGAATTTTCGATTAAAAAAAAAGTTTTCGAAACTCTATTTTCGTTTCGGTAAGTTCGAAATAATTTTAAAGTAATTAATTTTGCATCGAAACGATTTTTTTACTTTCGAAGTTGTAAAATTTGCTTCGAAATATTTTTGCGATTTCGAAATTCTGAAAATATTACCGAAAAATTTTTTACTTTCGAAAATGTAAAATTTGCTTCGAAATATATTTGCGATTTCGAAAATCGGAAAATATTACCGAAAAAATTTTTTACTTTCAAAATTGTAAAATTTGCTTCGAAATATTTTTGTGATATCGAAATTCTGAAAATATTACGCAATATTACTATTAAATTCTAAAATTTGCTTATATTTATTTTATTACTGAAATTGTACAAAATTTTATTAAAATATTTTTATAAATAATTAAATTTTAAAAATTAACATAAAATAATACTTAAAATTTTTGGTGTTACGGCCAGAGAAAAGGGTTTAACTACCTCCCACTATTTTATAGAAGAATCTGCAATTAATTTAATAATAACTCAGGGATCGTTCGCAAATCACCTCACATATTTAAGCCTAGCGTGGTTTCGGATTTTGTGACACTTTGGGGAGCTTTTTTATTTTTAGTAACAGGTTTTTTTAAATTTTGGGGCCCTAATGACTTTTTTAGTGTAAACGCTGTATACACTGGTTTGATAATGGCTCTCTGAAATGCCAGTCCTGGCTAGCCGTAAAACGAGTATTGCTGAGCAGCGCAAGTGTTATTGCCGAAGCGTAACATCAGACATCTGACCAATATATGGGTTTATATGTATTGTTTGCACTGATAAGTCCATAGACGTAGAGTTTTTATTTTTCCAGATTGGGCTCAAACAGTGGCGTCAATTCAGAAAAAACTTATAAGGAGGGGCCAATTTGTGAAAACAATTTAACTCTCCCCCCCCCCCCCCTTCACAAACCAAAATCATAACATTGAGCAGCACAATTCAATTTTGTTTCTTGGGTATTTTGTTAAAAACTTTACTTTAAAAACTTTACTTTAATAAAACTCTAAATATATAGAAAAAAATACTATTTTTGCTACTTTTTAAAAGAAACTGCTACCAAAAAGCAAGGATATACTCAAAGCCGTGGATAGGCTCCCCACGCTCCTCCTTAATTGGGGGGGGGGGGGGGAACAAATTTAGGGGGTCTTTTTCAAATTTTTGAGGGCCTTTTACCAAATTTGCCCCATGGATATCTGCTGCCCGGGACAAACAATACCTTCCCCTTCACCTTTCTCGCCTGATTAGATTAAGTTTTATGACTTTTTACTTTTATAAAATTATTTTTAGGGATTATATTTACCCTCACCAAAAGCTTGAATAGCCTTTTTGATAGCTTGAATAGCGTTAAAAAAATAAAAAGTTTTTTTTGCGCGTCGTTTTGATTGCATAAAATTTCTTTTGAAAATACTTTTTTTATTTCGAAAACACAACGTTTAAAAATCAAAGTAAATTTGAAAGAAAACTTTAGACACTCTAGAAGAGTCTGTAAGGAATTTTATTTTTAATATCTGTAAATTTTTAAAAATAAAGTAGAAGGTCAGCTTTAAAAAATTAGCAAAAAATAAATTATTTTTCGAGTTTATCTCTAAAATCCAATAAAGATTATCTGGTTAAACAAGAAATATAGAATTTTGACAGTCCCTTCTAAGAACGCATAGTTTACAGCACGCACATAAGTCATTATTATTCCTCAACGGCAATTCCCTTGAGGTCTTAAACGCATGACATGAAATCATTGTTGCAATGTAAACGGCTAATTACTTTCTAGTGGTTATTTAGAGATTTGCAACGGTTTCAAATCGACTTAAGCCTTTGCGATTTTTGTGTTACATAATTCTAAAAATGGTGTAATTTTATATTAAAGTTATAACAATCTCATTAATATCTCGGAAACGTAAGTGAAGTAACATGTGGTACAAATTTATTTTATCGTAAGTTACTAATTTGTTAATATTTGTTACATACGAACGAGTAAAAAAACTACTCGCTTTTTAGTTTGAATAAACAATGTCAAAAACAAATAAATCCGTTATTAAGAAAGGAATAAGAAAACGAAGCTTCGTTTGGACATATTTCGAAATGGACCAAAAGAATCAAACAAAATGCAGCATATGTTATAAGATTTTACCTTACAACAGTTCGACCAGTTCAATGCAATCCCATTTATCAATTGATCATTGCATTAATTCTAAAATATCTAAAAAATCAACAACTTTACTCAACGATGACGATATATCCGATATTGAGAGCGGTAATGAGAATGGTTTTGAAGAGACTGGTCATAAAAAATTAAACAGGTTATTGGTGAATTTTATTGTTGGTACCGATCAGCCGATTTCGATAGTACGTCATCCAGACTTTGTAAACTTAGTTAGTGAGTTAAACAAAAGCTACAAAATGCCTTGCATAAATACGGTGAGCAAGAAATTAATTCCATCAATTACGGACAATCTTAAATCAATTTTAATGCTAGAATTGAAGGGATGTCGTTTCATTACAATTACTTGTGATAGTTGGTCATCATTAGGTAAAAACAGCTACCTCGGTGTGACTTGTCATTTTATTGACAAAAATATGACTCTAGTTGACCGAAACCTGGATCTTAAGTTTATGTCTGAAATGAAAACAGCTGAATATTTATTTAATACGTTAAACGAAATCCTCAGTGAATGGTCAATCAATAATAAGATTTTTGCACTAGTTACTGACTCAGGTGCAAATATTTTCTCTGCAGTAAATAAATTTGATGATAATGTTCTTAAGATTCCGTGTGCTGATCATCGTTTGAATCTCGTGGTTAATGATCTTCTAAACGCACGAGATATAAAAGTAAAAAAATTTAAAAATGGGTCAAAGCGTTACCAAGTAAAAGATTACGACGGTAATGGAAAACTAATTAATAGAGAAATTACAGAAAGTGAAGTTAAAGAAATTGAAAAAATTAACGAAGGCAAATTAGAAAACGCCAAGGTAATTTCATCCTGCAGGCACATTGTTGGTTCATTTAAGCATTCAGAGATGTTACAAAAAAAGTTAAAAGAAGTTCAAGAAACACTTCGTTATGAAACTAAAATAAAGTTAGTACAGGATATAGCTATTCGCTGGAATAGCCAATTCGATATGATTGAATCTATATTAACAAATAAAACTGCATTGGATATGATAAGCATCGAATTCCAAAATATAAAAGACTATCTTCCCACTGCTACTGAATTTAAGGTGCTGGAGGATTTGTGTGATTTGTTACACCCAATTAAAGAGCTAACAAAACTTTTTAGCGGAAAGAAATATGTTACAGTAACATTTCTGTTTCCAACACTGTATTCTCTACTAAATGAAATACTTGAATCGCAACCTATTTTTACAGAACTAGTTAAGACTTTTCAAAAGGAATTATTAAGGTCTCTAAAAGGACGTTTTAAATACATTTTTGCTAATGATTTTTTTTTAGCAGCTACTTTTCTTGATTTCAAATTTCGTAAATTCGAGTTTATCAAAAATGATATCTATAGATATGAATGCATTTCAAAGGCAAAAATGTTTATAAAAACATTTTATGAAATGCATCTAAAAGAAACCGAAGAAATCGATATAATAATTGAAACAAATTGTTTAAATAACACTTTGAACTCGTCAAACAGCTCAGCTGACAATACCATAAAAACATTTCAGCAATTGTCAACGTCACCTATTGCAAATAATATTACTTTAGTTAACAACAAAAGACAAAAGTCAATCAACTTAATTGAACTAGTAACAGATAAATCTTGTTGTAATTTAATTGAGAGCAATAATAAACTTGAAAAAGAAATAAATGATTACAGTCTGCAATACTTTCATAGCTACGAAAATAGTGCCATTGAATTTTTCCAAGCTAATCAAAAATTGTTCCCGGTTTTGACACAAATTGCACGGATAATATTTTCAGTTCCAGCGACATCCGTGCCATCAGAATGCTTATTTAGTTCAACCGGTTTAATAGATACGGAGCTACGGAACAGGCTTGCGCCAAGCTTATTGAAGCAGTTAGTTTTTATTAAAGAAAACAAGTAATCAAAAACATTTCTTTATTAAAATAAAAAAAATTATTTAGTAAAAGTGTATTTTATAAATCTTAGTAATTTAAAGCACTTGTATTCTTTTTTTTTTATCTGATGAACTTTTTTACAAACAGCTTAATTAATGACAATATGTTTTCTGCTACATTCTTTTCAATTCTGGAAAAAACACCAATATCCAATGATTGAGCTGCCATCAGGGCAGGTGCAAGTAGGTGTGACGTGGTGGGGTGTCATTAAAATTTTTGTTGAGTAAAAAATTAGGTCCTTGTTTTTTGAAGTTCGACGACTGACCTGTCTAAAAGGTCTACATTTGCCGACTTCTTTAAAAGGGTTATTTTTGCCGACTAAATGCACAAAAAATGCATTTAGGAAGGTGTGCGTGTAAATGATTCGTAAATTTAAATAATCTTTCCCCGTTATTGAATGGTTTAGAATTTGTAACTAAAGAGGACTAATTTCATAGCTTGTAGCAGTAGCATTTACTGTTATGATATTGCCCTTTTTTAAGAAATCTTGTTGTCCAAACAACTAATTATAAATTGGATTGTTTTATCTTTCCCTAACTTGAGGAAAGTCTTTATGAACAAAAAAGTGATTAGAAGAGAGTCTTTTTTTAACTTTCTAGGAGTGATTATAGATGAAAATATATCATGGAAATATCATATTAAATCTATTGAAATTAAAATATCCAAAAATACTTCAATGCTATATATAGTTAAACCCTAACTTTATTTAGCATAAAAAATATATAATTTTCTTAATACGGAGTCTTTGAAAATTATATATTTTTCATTTAGGGAGAGTGGGGCAAAGTGGGTCGAATTTCTTTCTTTTTTAATTTGAGTGAAAGTTAAAATATATATTTTATGTTTGCCAAGGCTAAAGGATTGAGAATATGTCCTTTATGATAAGAAATAACTAAAATCTAAATATATATTATCTAACAGCTCAGAGAAAGGTTTAAAGTGAGTTTTGTTAAGTGATTCACTGTACCCCAGTACTGGGGTACAGTGAATCATTTTGAGGATGAGGGTGTAAATACATTGTATACTATATTTTTGGTGCACTTTTGGTAACTAATATTAAATAATTTAAATTTTTTCTGATTGACAAAATAAAGAATAAATTTTATTGATAACAAAACTTATTCAACCATCTAAAATCACAAAAAAAAATTTATTTAATAAAACTTATTTAACCAACAACACAAGAAATTTTTTAAAGTGAATTTTTAATTTTTATAAACATTTTTATCACAGTGAATTAACCGTTTCACGGTACCCCGATTCATTGTGCCCCACTATAAAAAATAAGGTTCAAGTTTAATTTCTTGGGGCATGAGTTTTATTAAACGAAAAGCAAAACTACTAAAATGAACCATAAAGATCAGTATTCCGAATATAAAACTTTAACTTATAAAATGATTTTAACCATGATCTCCACAACAAACATAAAGATGGTAAGAGCATTTACTTTAGTTAGCTAAAAACATAAATTACCTACCTAAAACCGAGAGTCAAAAATTATGTGGTAACACCTATAAATAAAGATGGGTGATATATGCGCACATAAACTTATTACATCATTGTGATGAACAAAATCATAATCTTTGAAAAAATGCTTCTTATTCACTGTGCCCCTCAATCTACTGTACCCTGACTTCCCCTATTCATAGTTTTTTTATTTATAAACTTAATATATACTAAGTTATGCTTTTTACGTTTAAATCAAAACATGCGTTATCTCCTTATATATTTCACTCTTACTTTGCAGAAATATCTCATTAATACCCATCTGATAATTTTGTAATTCCAAGATCTTATTTAAAACTCAATTCATTTCAAATTCAATACCGTGGACCATTTATATGGAAAAGTTTTTAAAAAAACATTATTAAAAATAAAATTCTTCTTAGAGCAATTCTAAGAACATCTCCTTAGAATAATTCGAAAGAGAATCTAAACGTTTTCTATAAGAAAAAAATTTCAATATTTCTTTTAATATTTCTTTTAATAAGTTTGAAATTAATTTAGCTTACCAAATATCTATTGGTTTTTTCTCGAAATTAATTGCACATTTTGAAACTCTTTTTTTTCTTTCGAAATTAATTTGACTTTTCAAAATACACTTTTTTTTTTCGAAGTTAATTTGACTTTTCAAAACTCTTTTTTTTCTTTCGAAATTAATATCACTTTTCGAAATACATTTTTTTTTTCGAAATTAATTTCACATTTCGAAATTCTTTTTTTCCTTTCGAAATAAATTTCCTTTTTCGAAATCCAGCTTTTTATTTCGAAATTAATTTCACATTTCGAAATTCTTTTTTTCCTTTCGAAATTATTTTCCTATTTCGAAATCCACTTTTTTATTTCGAAATTAATTTCACATTTCGAAATTCTTTATTTCCTTTCGAAATTAATTTCCTATTTCGTAATCCACCTTTTTATTTCGAAATTAATTTCACATTTCTAAATTACTTTTTTTTTTCGAAATTAATATGGCTAGTTCGATTATTATCGAAAGTTTTTTTAGATTTCGAAAAAAAAGAAGTATTTCGATAACGTTTTAATCGAAAATTTTCGAAAATCGCAATTTCGATAATGAACCCTACTGAACTGGCTAAACAGTGTATCCCAACAAAAAACAAAAGAAAATTGTTGTATAGAGATTTCGAAAGATGTCCTTTTAATGCAACAATGCCACTGTATAATAAAAAATTGATTGAAATTTCACTGCTTTCCAACGCTCTATGTCACCTAAATACATAGAGCGTTGAAAAGCAGTATTTTTAATAAAAAGCCTGTTAGTGATGAAATAAGTGAAACACATCTTATTCCATCACTAACAGGGCTTTTTATTAAAAACATCAAAATCCTTTTCATTACTCCTAGACACACTAGGTGCATAAAATCAAGTGAAAACTGAGTTACCATTCCAATAGACAATTTTTCAAGTGGACTATCTCCAATGTGATGATTATCTGTCATTTGATGAGCATCTGTCATTTCATTAAAAGAATGATCAGTTCTAAGAGGAGCATCAGTTTTCAATTTTTGACAGTTCTTGCTCTAGGTGTTTTTAGTAACATTTGCGGATCTTTTGGAAGTGATGGGTGCAACACTCTAAGTATATCCAAAAGTGTAGATACTGCATCCATAGGAATAGAAAATGATGCTGCCCACATTCTCAAATCAAATGATAGCACTTTTTTTTCATTTTCAATATCAGGTTCGTTTTCCTCGCTGCTATCATCCAACAATGACTCTACATCAATGGATTCAATTGTATCCTGCTTCATAAACATTTCCCAACTATTTGTTACAATTTCGTCATAATTACTATTTTCAGTCAACTTTTCTCTATCTATTGAATTTAAATCCAGCATATTAAACTCAGAATCGTTATTATATTTGGAGTTATCAAGAATTGGAGAGAGGTGATCTAATAAATGCTGATTACAAACAACATGATCATCTTTTTGTCCTACAATATCATTAAAAGAATAGGAGGCATGATATATAAAACTATTTTTTTTTAAAGCTTTATTATTATTAGAAATAGAAAATTCTGTATCAATAATATTGATATGATTATCATATTATGTTCGATATTGACAATATCGAACATAATTTTGTTGACAGATTTAACTATTTTTCTTCTCTTTGACCAATAAGATTGCACAGTATCCATGATCTGTTGAAATCCCTTTTTATATAAGTTATATAAACTTTAGTAAAGCTATAATGATAATAAACTAAAACTATGGAAAAAAAATATGTGTTTAATTCATATATACGTATACTTTGAAATTAAATTTAAAATACAGTTCTGAAATAATAATAACTTATTTCCAATAATAATAATATTAATATAGTCCAAAATGATTGCGTTAATCCGAAATGTACACCATATTTAAAATACATCTATTGGTATATATTTATTATATATTAGCCAATATTGGCCCAATAAATTCCCAAATAAGTCGGCCAGTATTTTGGCTTCTGTATCAGCTGCAAATACAAGCCGACAAACGCAAAGCCTCAGCAATTAAGGCAAAACGATGGCATACAATGGCCCGTTCTATATGTTCAAAAAAGTTATTGGCCCAACAAAGGGCCATCGTACGGTGTTTACTGGGTTAGAGTATCAAAAACTCTCATTAATAACTTTATTACAACTGATGTCTTCAATAACAATATACAAAAAGATATATTGAAAACAGATATATCTAATTGTTTCAGAATATTTCTATTATTCAACCGAAATAATAAATAATGAAATACTTAAAACAAAAAACACCCATGGCCTACTTTATTTATACGGCCGGATATTTTACATTTTGAAGAAAAAAATAGAAGGCCAGTTTTTAAAATCGTAATGTTTCAAAAATTTAATACGTTTTGAACATTTTCAATATTATTTTACTTTCTACATTTAAAAAGTCCACAAAAGTTGTATTTATTCATAATTTTAGATATTAAACGAACATTTATTAAGAAATAAATAGTGTTTATTTAAAAATTTAGTATTAGTAAAAACGATGTAAGAAACAAGAACAGTTATAAAAAATTTTTAAATGTTTCTCTTTTTTCATTTAAAAATAAAATAATTATATATAATTTATTAAATTTTCTCAAATTTTCTCTTTTTAAAAGATTTTACATGATCAACAGCTACTTCACTGGTAGAGATAATTCTTTTATTATTAAGAAAAATGTTAACTACAATTCTTTAAGCAAGTTTTATCCCAGTTTTCTCATGCATGGGACAAGAAAAAGTCTGAAAAGAGTCATAAAAGTGGTTTAACAAATATTCTAAAGCTTGTCGTGCATGTAAACTAAATTTCTTTATTTTTTTATAAAAGTAGTCAATCATAGCAAAGGATGTGCAAACATAATCCAAAAGTGATGGTGAAGGAATAGTGAGACCACCCCTAAAAATAATTGTTAAATAAGTATGATCAGGATTGCTTTCATCAATATTGACACAACATAAAAATTCTTTACAACATGTACCAAAACGTTTTTTAAGTTTCTTTGCTATATAACCAGCAATACGAGCACCTACTTCCCTACTTTCTGGTGCAAGTGTCATGATTTCTTGAGTACACTGAGCTTCATCAATATCAAGAAGAAAGTTTTTCCAATCTGTTAAATTATTTTCTGACTCAGGCACTTTTAAACTAT